AAACTCATCAATTAGAAGAATTAAAAATACCCAATATCGATGAACACCAATTTTAATTGAAACCAAGTCTCACAATTTCAATCCCGAAAATCAATTCATACCTACACTAGAAATGAAACTACTCGCAATCCATAGCAATTAAAAATATAAAATAAATCAAATAGTTCATCATGCCTTCAAGTTTAAAAATCGACAACAAACCAATTCTAGAAATGAAGAAAAAGTTGCCCGGAAGTTTTTCTGCGTTGCTCTCCAAAAGTTCCCCCTTCCGTAGTGTTCTTCCTTCTCTTCTCTTCTCCTCCAGAAAATGGGTTGTAGGTGAGATCGTGGTAGAGAACGTGGTAGTCCCCTCTCTTCTCCTCTTCAATTGAAAATCGTGTCTCTTCAAGTCCACTTAAGATCCCCTTTGCACTTTTAAACCAAACAATTGTAAAATTGCTAATTAACCCCGGAGGACCTTTTTGCAATTTTTATTTTTTTCTACTTCGTGATCACGCTTAAAGACTTCCTGCGTTCTGCTTTTCTCTCCAATATGCCCAAAATTTGCCAACTCCTTAACGCCTAGTAGAAAGTTAAAAAACACATCATTAGGAGCATATATACATAATTCGCATCCAAAAATCGTCTAAAATATAGCAAAATATTTGTCTAATATCGCATATATCACACCTGACTTAGTGCCATTGCCGAGCAATGAGCAATCTAATATGGACTTTAGAGAACAAGCACATAAGATACAACAACTCCACAAAGATGTGCAAAAGAAATGGAGCAACGCAACCCACGAACTTCCAATAAAGCCAATCGCCATCGCAAGAGAGTGATTTTTCAACCTGGAGATTGGCTTTGATTGCACATTCGAAAGGATAGATTTCCAGCCAAGAGAAAGTTAAAGTTTTCCCCGCGAGGAGATAGTCCATTTCAAGTCATCGTGCACAGAAACGACAATGCTTACAAGTTGGATTTACCAGTTGAATATGGTGTTCATGCAACTCTTAGTGTTTCTCACTTAACTCTTTTTAATGTAGACAGTTGATAGGACCTTTTAAAGAGGGAGGAGGATGTGACCATCATGAAGGATATTGACCAAACAATATTGCCAACCGGACCAATAACTCGGAGCCAAGCCCAAACATTTTGAATGGCTATCTCGAGTCTAGTCCAACATTTCATGGACTCAATTTTTGAAAAGATTGTTGAAGATGGACCCGGCGGATATTGCATCTCTTACGTACCTGACTCAAAGATCACATCCAAATTCCCGAGGCATCACACTCCAATTGAAATGGCTTAGTGAAATCCAGTAGAGCTAAAACATGAGCATTAGTAAGTTTTCTCTTAAGCAAATCGAAATATGCTTATTCAGAAACTCCCCAATAAAAGTTTTTATCTTTCTTTGTAAGCACAGTTAGCGGTGCTGCAATGAAGCTAAAATCTTGCACAAAGAGGTGGTAAAAGCTTGCAAGTTCAAGGAATCTACGAGCTTCCTTGATCGTTTTAAGTATTGGTCAATCCCAAATAACATGTGTTTTACCTTCATCTACACTTATCCCTTCAGTGCCTACAAAAAACCAAGAAAAATACATTTGTCAACATAAAAGTCACACTTCTTCGAGTTAGCATAAAGCTTTCCAGCTCTTGACACTTCCAAAACACTACGAATATGTTCTTTTTGTTCTTCCATTGATTTACTATAGATGAGAATATCATCAAAGTAAACCACAACAAATCTTATATATATATTTGAATTCACTATGGCTCCCACCTTCTCAAAAAAGTATGAATTTCTAGCTATTTTGAATTTTTTTCTTCTTCTTTTTTGATTGGTTGGGGTGTTTGATTGGTCGCTAAACAAAATTTTTTAGCATTTTTGTATTTTTTTTCCTTTAATTTTATTGGTCTTTCATATTTGATTGGCTACTACATAAATATGAGTTAATTTTATTGATTGTAGATTTTGTTTGGATATTACAATATTTGATTGCTTTTGACAATTTAATTTTTTTCTCCTAATTTTGTTTGATTGTAGATTTTGATGGACTATTACAAAAATATGGATTTATATATATATATATTGTTAATCTAATTTAAAATATAATTTTTATCTTCTATATACTATTATAGGAGCTCATTGTAGGGTCTATTTGTGCAAAAAGCTTGAATTTTTAAGGATTTTGTATTTCTTCTAAAATAATTTGGTTGGTTATTATTTTTGATTGGTTATTATAAAATATGAATCATATACAAGAATTGTCATATAAATTTATTTTAAAATATATAAAAACTTGAATTTTTAGCAATTTTACATTTTCTTTAAAAGTAATTTGGTTGGTCATCACTTTTAATTGGTTGGTATAAAATACGAATCATATATATATAAGAATTTTTATATAAATTTATTTTAAAATATATAAAAACTTGAATTTCAATTTTACATTTTTTTTTAAAAATAACTTGGTTGGTCATTACTTTTGATTGGTTGTTATAAATTATGAATCATATATAAGAATTATTATATAAATTTATTTTAAAATATATAAAAACTTAAATTTCTAGCACTTTTATATTTTTTTTAAAAATAATTTAGTTGGTCATTACTTTTGATTGATTGTCATAAAATATGAATCATATATAAGAATTGTTATATATATTTATTTTAAAATATATAAAAATTTATATGTAATGTAATTGTATTTTTAGCATTTTTATTTTTTATATTATAAAAAATTACAATATAAATATGTATTTTTGTTTAGTAAATACATATTTTTAATTATTATTCCTAATAACTTATTATATATATATTATATTGTAAAATTAAAATTAAATTTGTTAGTATGTTTTTTTATTAAAATTGTAAAATTAAATTTAATGTTTATTATATATTAGAGTAAATAATTAATTTATTATATTGATTGTTATATACTTCACATATATTTAATTTTTAAAACTCTCATAATTATTAATTTTAATCCAACTTAAAATTTTATATGTTCTTTAATTAAATAATATATTTTTCATCCAATGGCCCTATATTTTAGTGTATCACAGTAATATATTAAAATTAAAATATTTATTGATTATAAATTAAATAAAATTATACTCCCATTAAGTATAATAATTGAATTTTACAATATTAATTTAAAAAACTGTAATTATATTCAAATGTAGTAAAACGATGAGTCATATAAGCCATCATTGACTCTTGAATTTATCGAAGAATTACCAACAGGTGTATAATAATCAATTGTGGAAATGGAAGAGTTTGATATATTTCTAGAGTATCCATTCTTTTGCTATATATAAATACATAATCACAAATGCAAATCCACCTTTGGCTTGCCTCTGCCAATACGATGTACATTCATGTTGTGTATTTCTAATATTTTTTCTTCAATTATCTCTGTTACAACAAGGAACATGCTAGCTGGTCTGTCAGAGAAGAAAAAATGTGAGCACAATGTCGTGGTGGTGATTGCGAGCCCCGACAAAGGTATTAAGAAGGCTATTCGATGGCCTACGACGTTGAAAACGCTGATGAAGGCTACATGACCGATCGAGCTGGAAGACTAGACAACGTTGAAGGATGTGGCTTTGAGTCGTCTGTAGATTTCATGTTCCTTTAAACTATGTATTGCATGTTCGAATCTGTTTCTGACAATATTTTGATTTTTATAAATAACTTTGTGTGATTTGCAATGTGTTGCGCCGGCATGTATGGATGAACAAGCAATGCCGGATGCGGCGTCTAGGGAAACATCGATTCAACTTGCGTAACCAAGGTGGAGGCAGAAGTAGCAAAGTGAAAGAGAAGACTGAAAAGAACGAGGAAAGCAGAAGAAGTTTTTGTGTAGCCTGAGAAATAAAGATGATGTGTTTCTTAATTTGTAAATAAAGATAGAAGCAAATGAGTGCGGGTGGATAAAAACAATCCACATCTGTTTGTTATCAAAAAAGTATTGTCCTATTCAAAAAATTAAACAAGAATCTATATAGAGTTTTATGTATTTAAAAATTAATTAGACAAACAAATTCCATATTATTTTTAATGAAAATGGTTGTCAATCTATAGAGAAATTTAAAATTGGGGCAGATTGTGTCGAGGAAAGAAGATATTTAAATATATCTGATTTCATAGCACTTTTTATTCATAACATAGTTATAAAATTACCTAGTTTATCCAAAATATACAAGAATTAATGTTTTTTTAAAAAAAAATAACATGAATTTACACCCAAATTTGATTATTTTGTATTGAACCATTTGTTCGATCAACTAAAATTGAATATTTATTACAGAAAAAATGGCTTATATACATCGTCCGTTCAAGAAAACTAAAATAAATTCATTGATAAAATAAAATTCAAATACATTGATATGAAATTACAATAATTTATTTATAATATTAAAAGAGCAAAATTAACACAAGCGTTTAATAAATTATCATATTTTATAACAAAAATCAAAATAATCGGTAATTGTTAAAACAAAATAATACTTATGTGTTAATGAAATAGATATGTTAAAAATTAGGGCAGAATTTCTTTTGTAATTTTTTTGTTTTTAATAACGTAAGAATCCGTACTAATAGGTATTATTCATACTAAGGATTCCATTAACTTTTTGGGTGTTAGATATTTGAATATTAATTATTATATCAAAGTTTAGTATAAATTAAGAAAAAATTACAAAAATACTTTTATTAATGTCTTATAATAACACGTGTACAAAAAATTATACAAATATAAAAATATTTATAATGTTAAATACAATGACACAAAAAGTAAATGTGACCCTTAGAGGCGGACGGAGGAAGTATTATATTAACATTGTAATTTCTTTTTCGTTGATTGCCCCGTGCGTAGCAACAGTTTCCCACTACTTTCTCTATGAAAGTACGTAATACATGATTCATTAACCGCATATATGTACTTGGAGTATTAAAAGGCCAAAAGGCATGACTACTCATATAAACCAAATGTAGTTTTAAACATAGTTTTCTATTCATCACCTTCCCTCATCCTAATCTGATGATATCCACTTTCCAAATCAATTTTAGAAAAGTACTTTGACCCATACAGTTCATCTAGCATATCATCTAAACGAGGGATAGGGCGTTGATACTTTACCGTTATAGCATATACGGCTCGACAATCAATGCACATTCTCCATCCACCATCCTTCTTTGGGACAAGAAGAACCGGTACAACACAAGGGCTTAGGCTCTCGTGAATCCAGCCTTTGTCAAGTAACTCATCCACTTGCTTTTGTATTTCTTTGACCTTCTCTGGACTTGCCTTGTAAGCTGGACGATTTGGAATTGATGCACCTAGAATGAGATCCATTTGGTGCTCAATGCCTCGAATAGGTGGCAATCCTCCGGTTACTTCATCAGGAAACATATCTTGATATTCCTTCAAAAGAGAAGCAACATTGGAAGGGAGTTTCATTAGCTCTTGCTTATTAAAATAAATAAATTTAATTAAAAGTAAATAAGAACTTCCCTCGTGAATTTTCAAATTTTTTACCTCTTCCAAGCTCACAAGTACTTTTCTTTCAATCTCACAAGCATTTTTCTTTCAATCTCACTCTTGTGTTGTTCACTTGCTCTTTTTTTCACTTTCTTTTTTCTCACTCCCATGCTCACTTTTTCTACTCTTATTTTTTTCACTCTTCTTCTTTTCTCTCTTTTCTTTGGCTTCTTCCCTAAATTGACGATGCATGTAGAGTTGGTCCTCATGGACATCCATTGGAGACAACGAATTCAAGCATATTTTTCTACTCCTAAACTGAAATGAGTATCTATTCAAATATCCATCATGACGAGCCTTTCTATCAAACTACCATGGCCTCCCAAGTAATACGTGACAAGCTTGCATCTGTAGCACATCACAAACGACTTCATCCTCATAATTCTTGATCTTGATAGGAACCGTCACCTGCTTGTTCACATTCAACTCTCCGCAATTGCTAACCCACTGCAATTTGAATGGTTTTAGGTGGGGGTGTTGTTAGCAAATTCAATTTTTGAACAACAAGTTCACTTACAATATTTGTGCAGCTCCCACTATCAATAATGAGGCTACACACTTTACCTTCAATTAGGCAATGAGTTTGAAAGAGATTTTCTCGTTGTTCCTCATCAAAGGTCCTTGACATGGTGCTTAAGGCTCGTAAAGTAACCCAACCCAAACCAACAACGGAATCAGAGTCATCATTTGGGTTATTTTCTGCATGTACTCTCTGATCAACCCTCTTCTCATTTTCAGATTCCGTCTCGTATTCCCCAAACTTGTTAAGGATCATCGTTTTCTTGTTTGGGCATTGACTTGCAATGTGGCCTCGACCTTGACACTTGAAGCAAATGATATCTCGATTCCTCGGCTTCTCTAGATCAGCTCCAAAATATTTGTTCCTTAGTGTGTCATCCTTGATAACACATTTTCTTTTACCGAACCCTTGGGCCCCTTGGGATTCATCCTTCTTGGTATAATTTGGTGTGAAAGGCTTTGTACGAGATGTTTGCTGTTTGCCCTTACGCTTCAATTGCTTCTCAATTGTAATGGCACGTTCTAACAATTCATCAATATCATCAAAATGATACAATCGCAATTTTTCAAAAATGTCTCGATTCATCGCAGTCAAGATCCCCGCTACCATGGCTTGTTGACTCTCTCGAACATCAACCCGCATTAAAGTCACCTCTAAATCCGTGTAGAACTCATCGACTGTCCTATTTCCTTGCTTCATTGGTTGTAGTCTGATAACAGAAAAATGTACATTTGTTATTGTATATTAATTCGCAGGGAATTTTATTCGAAAATCAATGAGTAGAGTTTTTATAGAAGAATGGTCAGATATAGCAATTATGTGGTTGTAGACCCTGGATAGTTATCACAATTATTTATACTCATTTTACTGATGAGTTTCCAGGTCGAACACAGGGATTTAAAGTCATGAATTTCAATATTAAAAATCTTGGAGAAGCGACGAAGAAACAAAAAGGGAGCCCGCCTCGAGCGGAGAACCTTCAACTACTGAAAGCAGTAAATAAAGCAGTAAACATGAACGGGGGTGAGCGAAGCGAAAGTGATAGGATTGGGATGCGAGCGAGTGGCCTGATATATGTATATGTATATGAGCGAAGTAGAGTGAAAGAGAGGTGTTGTGTCTGAGCTGTGCGTTACTAAATGGGTAGAATTCCATGGATGCAGCGAGCGAATGATGAAATTGTGTTATCAGAAGCATATATGTATTTTACGAAAATGATGACAGAAAGATGTTGTAATTATATAAACTCGATTATAAAGAACTTATCACACTGGTATTTTGGCCTGGGGGGGGATTTACAACAAGACTTCAATGATGCCCAGAATTAAGACATTATAAGAAAGAAACCCTACTGTCACTAGGAATTTCTGCGACCTAATAGACCCCCGTCTATGTCCCGTTAATTTTCCCAATTTCTGCCTCATTAGTGGCTTTACCCCCTGATGTTGGTACTCTTTTATCAGAATCAAATTCAGCGCAGTAATTAAGTAGGTCGACAAGGCTCCCGCGTACTTAACTACGTTGAACTACCTTGAGACCGCTTTTGGCGCATCACAAGGCTTAATTAATTAATTCGTCTCTCGCTCTATACCAGTGATATGAAATTCTCTAAATTGATTTATATAAGTATGGAAAATTGTGAAAGGATTTAAATTGAAGAAGAGTGATATTTCTTTATATACTATGAAAATTGCGAAAAGGATTAGACTACAAAGCTGTAAATGAAAGCAGTAAGCTAGTCTAAGAAAGCATTAAAGACGTGGCCAAGGGAGGGGAATACACCCACTCCCTTGGCCTTTCCTGTGGAGAACTCCCTTACAGGGTTGGAGCTCTCGGAAACAGGAAGACAATGAACGCTGTGTATATTCTGAAAATCGTCCAAGAATTCGATTCTCCTATATGTTTTTACATACAGATATCTGGCCCTATTTATAGCAGCTGTAACAGGACGGTTGCAGGAAGCTGTTGGGTAGTTCCAACCGCTGGGCAGTTAGGCGGTTGCAGGTGGTTATTCTGTTGAAGCAGTTGCTGGCCATAACTCCCAGGGTGTCCGCTTCGCTTGCGTTGATGGCACAGGTCTTCCTCGCTTGCTGGAGAGCAGGAGGGCATCAGCGTAGCACGGCTCGCTTGAGCTAGCTGGAATTGGAATAGCTGTACCGCTGCATTTGAAGTACTTAGTTGAAGTGTGGTGATAGTCTGCAGCGGCGGGTATCTGGACTGTCGCTTGCAAGCGGGAGGGGCTATCGCTTGCGGCTATGAAGGTGGCCGCTTGCCTCTCGTGCCTTAGTGTTTTCAAGGTGCGTCTTGGGCGCTTGCGAGCGAAGGCGGCTGTCGCTTGCGGCGTCTGCCTTAGCTTTTCTGGCTCCAGAATACCGCTTAAGAGGGCAAAAATCGTTAATAATCTCAACAACGAATTCTGGGTCATGCCTGGTGATATAAATCAATATTGTATGCTGATTACGAATTATTTTGATGGTTCTTATGCAAAAATTCAAGTAACACCCATTTTTGTCAAGCTAAGAATATGCTCATATTTGGAGTCATCAAACCTCCTCACACTAAACCTTTGTTCGTCCTCGAACAAACTGCATTAAAGGATCAAGAGGTTATCCCGTTCACGGCAATCAAGAAGTGCTAATAACCAGTGCCATGATTGGGAGTAGAGTGAATCTCAAATAGTAACAAGTGAAACACAAGTATTCAGCATGTCATTTGATTTAACGAGATTGGAGTTGTCCAGGTATTGTCAACTTTGTTCGCTCAGCAGAGATTCTTTTTTTTGATCTAGGAAACCTTCAGCCGAAGGGCGTGGAGAATATATGTATATATATTTTTTTTTTTTTTGGATCGTGAGTTTCAAACAAACATTGTGTCTGCTCATGATCTTATTAGGTTCTCGCGCGCCTAGGCCTTTTCAGTTCCTTTGTAATGATAGGTCCTCCCTGCTTTGCTTGCATCGTATCTTAAACCAAATTTAAGGACTTCTCTTTTCAAGTTATGCCTTATGAGAAAAGTTGAAAAACCTGGTCACTTGCCTTACTGAGTATGGAAAGTTGAAACGAAGGGGGCACTAGTTTTTCACAAGTCTCTTTCGCTGTTACTTAGTCTAACACTAGTGTTCGAGTTATGGTGAAGTTCGAAGGACAAGTACTTAGTCTGATGTGCTTAGGTTGTCTAACTCTACTCTAGAACATATCACAAAGTTAACCAAGCAGAATATCACAGGAATTTCACATAAGAGCACATACTTCAGGTTATGTTAGGCATACAATAAAGAAAAATTGTCACGAGTTACCAAAAATTGTTGTCTCCTTGATTGATGTTATGTACAGCCCTTGTTATTCTCAATTTTACATGGGTGAGGACCTTTCTTTATTTCTTCTTTTCGCTTGCTGGTCCTCGCCCTTGAGGAAGGTTGCGTGATATCTGCCGCACTAGGTCTTCTAATCGGAGGAGATTCCTGGCTGTGTCAAGCTGTTGTTCCATTAGGATGGCGTTTTGTTGGGTAAGAGCTGCGAGAGCTTTCATAATTTCATGCAGCGTCGTACCCATGCTTGCAGCCAGGGTCTCTAGCGCTTCCACTCGCTCTTCTAGTGCGGCAGTCGCTTTCTTTCCAGCAGTCAGTTCATCACCCAGACTCCTAGCGTATGTGTCTATTAATGTCTGAGTCATCATGTATTGGGTGAGAATGGCTGAGTCGAGTTCATCCAATCTTCTTTCAATATTTTCCAGTGATGCGCGGGGGGCTGATGGTCCAGCACCCGCCGCTTCTGGTGATTGTCGCTCGCTCTCAGCTGAACTGATCTCCACTGGCTCTTCCTCGTTTTGGGAATCGGGTGCTGGCTCAGGGGAGACATCCCTGAGGAATACTAGCTGCCTCGCTGCCTCGTACTCCTGCTGTTCTGCTTTCTTCTTTTGTAAATATCTTCTGAATCGCAGCTGGAGTTGAGTCAGCGGTTTCCAGTATTTCAGCAGCTTGACCAGCACCTTCATTTTCCTTTTTCTTTCTCGCTCGAGCTGCTGCATTCGTTCGATTCGTTGTACTGCGGCAAGCAGCTGAGCTTTTTGTTCTTGGAACTTCCTGTCCTGTTCCTCCTCCTCCTCTTCTATAAGTGTTTTATCAGATTTGGTTGAGGCAGGAGTCAGAACTTCTGCGGGTGTCCCGATCATGGTATGCGTTCCTGGGCTGCTTGGGGATACCTGCAAGACAGGAAGATTTAGAATCACTGCCTCCACCTCTTCGGCTTCATTGGCAGTTTCAGCGGTTGTGGCAGCGGGGCCCTCGGCGGGGTATTCTTTGTATGATTCAATGGTGACATCGATCCCGCCAATAGTTTCTTCGGTGAATATGGTCTCCCGCTCCTCCTCTGCTCCAGCAGCAGTAGGCTCCACCGCTCCCGGCTGGTTAATGGGTGTGGTTTCTTTGCCTATTCCAACAGCAGTTGGCTCACCTGCCCCCTGTTGGTCGAAGGGAACAGGTTCATCGCCAGATGGGCTTGGCAATATCTCCTCTAATGCTGGCCGTGCCGGCGAAGGTCTCTCGGGTTGGGCGGTGGGTTCTCTGATGACGATCCCCTTCCGTAGTCTGGAGAGGGGAATCGTGTCCTCGCTTGACTCTACATCCACCACTTTCCCTTTCCCTTTCTCCTGCCTTGTCGCTCGCCGAGGGGGTGTTGGATTTTTTCGCAGTGCTTCTTTCACCCTCGGCTTTTTGACAGGCGGCGGAGCAGGGTCTTCATGTTTCTTTGACCTCTTTTCGCCCACGGCCGCTTGCGGCGCCTTTCCTTCCTTATTACTCCTAGTTGTTTTAGCCCCAAATAGATTTTCCTCAATCTCCCGAGCGAAGCGGAGGGTTTCCTCTTCCTCATCGCTGGGAGCTTCATTGGAAACTGTTCTCTCAGAGTCTGGCTCGGTGTGGGGTGTCACATCTTCTCTTATGATTTCCCCCCCCACAAATTTCATCTTTCTTTTTGGTGGAGGGGGCGCTGCCGCTTGTGCTTTCCTCTTTTTCTGCTTGGGGATGAGAGTGAACCCCTTGGACTCCAGCCAATTTTTGTGGAAGGCCGCTGGGAACAGTGGCTTCATTTGGAGTTCTGGGGCTGGAGTGGGCAAATCGACGCCCGAGCGACGGCAAAGTTCTGTGATCAGGGTCCCGTGACCCAATGTTCTGTCTCCACTTCTTCGATCCCAGATGTCTAAGCCTATGATCGCGCCCAAATCCACATCGTTCGATTCCTCCAAGATTGAGCGAAGGGCTATGAGGTAGTCAGGACGAATGTCAGTGGTGTGAGCAGTGATCATTATTCTGCTCAACGACCACTTCACCCATTCCTTTTTCTCTTCGTCCACCGACCCAAACTTCAGGTTTCTTTTCTCATATGCAGGGGTGGTGGCGAAGGTCCTGTATAGCGACTGCAGTTCAAGTGAACTGCAGACCTCCGTAGCCTTCAGCTTGTCTTGCATCTCTTGGCCGGGGTAGTGGTGTTCCCAACCCAAGAGTCGGTTGATCTTTCTGGCTGAGCAGTCTACCCATTTTCCCCGAACGTAGACATGCTTAAGACTCTCAGCCTGGTTCAGATTAGCGTAAAACTCCCTCACCAGTGATACATCCACTGGTTCATTGGGGTTTCTGATCAACCAAGACAGACCCCGCTCCTCCAGCCAGTCAGAGAGCGGGCCTGTGATCTTCTCGGGGTCAA